CACATAAACCCAGTATAATACATGTCATATTTACCTGTGCCCTTCAGCAAGTAGGAAATATGCAGAAATTGAATAAAGTTATCAAACACTCAATTCTAAGTTAAATATAGATGAATCCTTAAAGCTACAAACGTTATTGATTTCCTTTTTTTGCTTTTGTTCTTTGATTAACAGACACCACAGCAGCTGGGTTATTAGGTAAATTTTTTTGGCTGCTTTAAGAGCTGCCGCTACTGAACATGACACGGATCTGACACGCATTGTATTTTCTCACAACTCTACCTTTTCTGACCCACTTCAGGTCTTAAAGTCTCTACTAATGAGCTGAAGAGTTGAATCAGGTGTGTTAGATGAGGGAGACTCAGAGTTTTGAAAACCACTGCATTTCAGAGACATGTTCTTAAATGTGACTCATATATAACAAATAACATAACTTCATGACTTAACTGACGACATAACTATGACATTGCATGCTTGTAGTTTCTTTTGCACTTTAATATGAAATTATATACAGTGCGCACCGCAGAATTTGTGTGTGAAATTGAAGAGCACGAGCTACGAGCACAGTATAACGGCTGACAGGACAGGAAAATTCATTTTTACTGACATATAGCCTGACAAACATCTCATCTGAGCGCAGTTCACTGTTGTTCTACTGAAGCTCCCTCGTCACCTGTACCTTTTATTTTGTTCTCGTTTGATTAGCGCCTGGCACTGAAGCGAAGTTGGAGTGCGCCGTTTGATGTGGTCGTAAAGACATTCTGTGTCTAAATAAACACGATTCTTGTCAGGAAAAAAGAGACAGAAGCAGCAGTTGTGAGTGGGGTGGCCAACCCTAGCTTTTTTTAGAATTGCAAGAAAAAAAATTCACAATTGCCTTTTTTATTTTATTTATTCGAAATAGCAATCTTGGTTGCACTTGATTTTACAGTATGTGTGCTTATGTGTACTTACAATGTACTAAAAAAATAATGGGTAATATAACGTAACTACATAGGTTATAGGTTAGGTTTAGGGGTAGGTTCAGGGTTAGTACCTAGTTATTACTTAGTTATTGTAATCACTATAATAAGTACATAGTATGTACATGTGAAACAGGACTGTAAAATAAATTGCTACCGAAATCTTTTATAAGTAGTAAATGTTTTACTGTCACTTCTGATCAATTTAAACCATCCTTATATATAAAAGTACTGAACTCAGACTTTTGATATATTTATTTCTATATATTTTGGTATATATAGGGTGGTGCTTACTGTAAAAAGCTTATTGTGTTTAAATGGAAAAAATATATAAATCAACCATGTTAGATGTTTATTATAGCTTATTATTGTGTAGTCTAGTAAATGTGTGTAATCTATTTAATTTTTTGTATTTAACTCATCCTAGAGCTGTGTCTGACCCCTCTACTAGTAACCTAAATCAGAAACATTGGTATTCAGCACCATGAATCAGTGTCTAGGTTAGAGTCAGTGAGGTATGTGGGAATTTTACAGGTCAAAACAACATGAATGCGTGTATCAGCTTTGTGACACCTGGTGGAATAGAGCTGAGCCTTATAATTGTTCTGAAAGACCAATCGATGAGATCCATGAAACAGGGAAAAGAGAGAGCTGTACTGGTCCCTCAGATATTGACCACTGTCTGTCAGAGAGAACGAGAGAGGGCTGAAGAGAGAGATAGAAGAAAGACACACAGAATATGTGTTTAGAATGAGACTAGGTCAATTGGCAGTCTAGTTTGTGACACTGCTGTTCAGATCATTGAACAAGCACCTCACATCTGAGAAAAACAGATTGAATCACAGATTGAGTCAATATGAAATGGCATTCTAACTAGGGATGCACCAATTTTACAAATTCTGGCTTATACTGATATACCGATCATTACTTTTATTTTAATGTTCATTTTGTTAATATCTGCTAATGCATTGAGTATCATGTATTATTAGTTAAAGCATATCAACTAAATATGAGCAACATTATTTTGCAGCATTTATTAATAGATTAATGTTGATTTATAAATATACTATTGTTCATTGTTATTTAATGTCCATTTATAATAGCATTAATGTTCATTTCACTTGAAATGCTACAGATGTATTAGTATACACTTCCCTTCAAATGTTTGGGGTTGTTTTTTTTTGTAGAAAGCTAGAAAGTCGAAGAAGAGCATTTACTGAAAATAAAAATCTTTTGTCACATTATAAATGTCTTAGCTGTTATAGTGCATCCTTGCTGAATAAAAAAAAAAAATCTTATTGTTACTTTGTGCAAAAAGTGCTAGCACTAAATGAGTGTAGGGTGTAGGTAATCTAAATGTCAAAATAATCAGAAATTAACATGCACAATTTAATATCCAATATAGGCAGATATGGATAAATTAAATCTCATGTTGAGCATCTTCCAATTCTGACCCATTTTACTTCTGTTATCTGATGAATTCCTGAGTGAAACGGGAATCAAAATAAGGATTTGTGATATCAGATGAAAATGAATGTTGTTTGAGGCAAAGCACGTTTGGATAGAAATTACTAAGACAAACATTTGGAATAATGTGCAGCAATCCTGATAAGGAATGTGCCTTGTGAATATAAATAAGATTTTGACTTCATATTAATTGTGATTAAATAAAAGAATAATATTTTTCATGGCTGACCATCTGAACTAATAAACATTAAAGTGGTTGTGAACCAATTAAGATGTTTTTTAGTCATATGTGCATTATAAATATATGTTATATCTATGTGATGTGTTTTTGTGCATCAGATTCCCTTTTCAGTACTCTGTGTTTGTAATTATATGCATGTTGGCTTAACATGCAATACATTAAAACAAAAGGACCCAGGTGTGGACAACACTACAGGAATGAAGGAAAACAACCATCCACCTGGGTCATTATGGACACGAGCAGTGACAGCTGATGAGAATGAATAAGGAAATGTTGAAGTTGTCTGGCTCTCTCAAAACATCCTTGATGTTCTGCCTCAGCAGGCGTCAGCCTGTATAATGAGAGCAGTTCGGCTATGAAAAATGGCAATCCATTTCAGTGGCCACGTCATGTAGACCACAGTCCATTTCCCAATGTCATTTTGAGCGTGTTTTTGTTGTATGACATGCACTTTGCTGCTGTAACTGAACAGATTATGTGCTCTCGTGAAATTAAAGAGCTCAAAATCAATGCGTCTCTGCAGACCCCCTTGCTAACATGATGAGAATTCATGATTTCATTATGCAAATCTAAAGCTGCACATGATTGCCTCAGTCTTCTCATTAAAGATATTTGATTTCTGTCCAAGGGATGTAAATTCTAATAAACCTTTTAATAAACCTAAATGCATCAATTAGTTTGAACTATTGGAGAAGGAAATGCGAGGAATGAGTAGACATCTTGGGCTCTGCTGCATGGCGATATACTATGCAACCGTACAAATGTGTACTGATGTGTCATTAATGCTGTGGTAGATATATTGCTGCAGCTATCAGTTGGAATGGACTGCTTTACGATGTTTACAGGTCACAGCCATGACGAAATATGGAGTAATTCCAAATATAGAGCATGACGTTCCCAAACAAGTCAAGATCAGGATTGAGTTGCTGTGTAAGGTGCTGTAAGTTTGTATTTCTTCACTGATTGATTTAAATAGATAAGGGTAAGTGACTAAAAAGAAAAAGATGCAAACTGTCTTATAAAATTTCGAAGAGTACCTGCTTTGAGGTTCTAGGTGGAAAGGATTCTATTGGTGAACCATATTGTTTATGACGTGGTAAGTTAGCAACATGATTGAAATTGTTTAAGGTGTGGTCATATTACCAACATTTTGGTGAAATTTCAAGGGCAAAAACGATCTGTTGTCTCTCATTAGTTGTGTAGCAATGTATGAAGCACACCCCCATGAAAATGTTTTTCACCTTCATGAAAAAAATTCCCAATCATGTGGATTCCTATTGAAATGACTGGATTTCGCCTGTGAAAATTCACAGAACATAACCACTGCTTTAGCCTCCAGTAGAAGCAGAGTTTACGTTGATTACTGTTTCCAAGCAACAATTCGATCTTTGATATTATTTTGCTATATCTCCAACATAAATATATTTTGATAAAAATTGGGTTGCAAAAAGGCACCATCGACTGGAGGCTGCTCTGACGTCACAGACATTGATCCAGAATATGAAACGAAGGCATTGGGTGAGGTGACTCCCGACTGGAGCTGCTGCTGCTGGGCAGGAGAAACACGTTCAGCCTCGGTGCACAACAGAACGAGAAAGTGAAGGGGGGGAAAGCAAAACGAGACATGAAAAAGGATTTGCCAACTGGCATCCCTCAGTGCAAGGCTCAATAGGACTGACTCATTCTCTCTCTTACTCAATCTGTCTATATTTCCCTTCCTCTCTCTCTCTTTTTGTCTTTCTCCCCTCCCTTCCCCCGAAACATTGCAGGGTAGTGGTTTCTCTCCCTTTCTCGCTCTTACTCGCTCTATCTCTCTGCTTACCTCTCCACACACACAGTCCTTTGCTTGCTGCTGCTGGTTGAGTTTATTATTCTGCGCTCTTATTGGTCAACCCTCAAGCGATGGTTTAGAGCCGGGTCTGATTATTTGCCTCTGGGAATCCTGAAGCACTGAGGAGGTGCCGTCTACTAGGTTCTTTTTTCTCTAATGGTTTTTGTTCTGGTATTAGTTTGAGCTGCTGCCTAAACTGAAAGAACAACAGCGCAATATCTGCAGCGGAACAACTTTATAATACAGAATTGAGTTTATAGGGAGTATGCCCAGAAAAATCAAGTTGAGAGAGAAGTTTTGGTCTCAGAGAAATTACATCAGGTGAATTGCCAATCAGTTGGGTACGTTTCCTTACTCAAGTGGCTTTTTCAGCAGTCCAAGCTGGAATCAGATCATGCTACCGATACAATCAGGTCACCACCGGGTTTGACCGTGAATCCCCAGCTTCCAGAAAACGTCACTCCCCCCTCGGTTAAACGCAACAAAAGACCAGGATTACTTCAAGCCATGAAGAAAATCTGGTCCAAGAAACGCTTTCAGGTGAGTCCTTGCATGCCTTATTTTTCTTGCCTTGCATGTTGACTCATAACTGACTGGGAGTTTGAATTTGACCCATATGTGTGGGTTTTGTCATTCATTGCGTTCCGTCTGAGGGAGGCTTGACCCAATTCCCTCCTTTAGGGCTGTTAGCACTCATTCGCACTCCTGCGCCCCACCCTTTTCTTGTAAACAAACGGCACACATCTGACTAGTTGCATGAGGATGATTACAGCTGAATAGGTGACTGTCTATGGCTCATTAAACCCCATCATATTCTGATGCATTCAGCGTTAAGCTAGGAACCCAGGATGCCCCAGAGACAAAGATGACAGCCCCCCTGGGTGCTTTGCTGTCGCCTCATAAGGGGTCGTCCTTAAGGGATAAGAAAACCAAGATATTGTTTATAATAGAAAAGTTTCATTTTGAAACCTGCATTGGATATGCGACTCGCAATGTTAGATTTTGCACCACTACAGAAGACATATGGCAAGTCAGCATGTAGGTTGCTTTCTTGTCCAAATGCAAGAAAACAGAAATGCTCATAGCAGCAACCCATTTTTTCCTGATGCATATTTCTAGGGATCTGTAGGATCGTAAATTTGTCTACCTCACACTTCAGTGCATTAACAGGAAGATTTTTACATCAAGACCATCAACTAAAATGATTGCATTTGTAGTCTTTTATTCACTACATTCAATACGCACTGCAACCAAATAGCATCACATCAGCAGGCTGTTATTGTACTCCCACTGCTAAGGCATTGCTGTGTGGTTGCTAAGGTGTTTTTAGTGTCGCTAAGTCAAAAGAGATCACACGTTCCTTGATATTCTGGATAAAAAACCTGACATTGTTCCAAAACCTGAATACATTCATTTTTCTGTGAAACAAAGGATGATGTTTTGAAATGTTTTTTTTTGTGCATATATTATACATGCATAAATTGAAAGTCAAAGGGGTCGAATGTTCTTTATTTTTGTATTCTGTAGAAAAAGAAATGCATACTGATATTGGAATAACATTAGGGTGTATACATTTTTTTGTGTAAATTATCCCTGTAAATGGCAATTTGTAATATTTTGGCTTAGCAAACATCACTAATGACTGCTGATTTCTCTGTATATAGACCGTCAGGTCAAAATGCAAACTGTGCCCCCTCCCTGGATGGCACATAAAGTGAAAATGAACAATCTGCACACCACCGCTTTGCCATGGGCTGTAAATGCATGAGAGTGGCCTTCTTTTGACAATATGTCATTGTGACATTTTACAGGTGAGAGGAGGTGAGAGCAGGACGAGCTCTTAGCTCTTCCTCTCAGGCCGATAGGAATCCTTGTGAAGATGAAAGGAGAAGTGGGTGTGAAGGAGAGGAGAGGGGGATGGGTGAAAGAAAAAGATAATTGGATCTTAGTCGGCAGACGGAGACAGGCGGGTGGATGGGGCAGAGATTTAGCTTAGAGACCAGACGGATACCGAACAGGTGGCTGAGTCATAGTTTCAGATGTAGGCTAAATGGTAGTTTCATTTTGTTATCCTGTCATTTGAATAATATGTAATTATTTCATCCCTCCATTTGATTTGCTTTAGGGAGAAAACATATCCCATTGCTTGCAAGGCAGCAAAAAAAAGAAGCTTAGGGGGTCGTTTTTTTTTTTTTGTAAATGAGACCACATCAGTGCTGCTATGACACTCAGCACATATCTTGTTTGCAGTTAGCTGTGACCAAAACCTGAAAAAAAGTATTCTTTTGCAAGCAGCATGCTGTGGTATGAAGGGGTGTCTGAATACAGTGTTTGCATAATCTTGTTTACTAAGTTTTTTTGATGGAGTCAAAGATGAATCCTTTACTATGTGGGATCTCACAATCCTGTGCATGTGTGCTTGGTGGAAAGAATAAAAATAGTGCCTGATGGTGTGAAAATGCCAATTTATCAACTTATGATTCAATTTCTTCCCAGAGATAAACATTTTAGTCACTTAAATGTTGGCTTGGTTTTCTCTAAAGCCTGTTTGAATTTGTTCTAGACCATTAAACATGGCATTATGATTTGAAAGTCTGCTTCCTTAAAAGGTGCCTGTCTGTAAATTAACTGACTAGATAGAGAGGCAGCAAGGCAGTTGCATTTGGTTTCAAATGTAGTAATAGTCATTGTGAAGTGTAAAGGTGACTATAAATTATTAAATTTAAATTTTAAAGGAAGACAAGAGCAATCACATTTAGTATACAAACAAGTGAGAAAGAAGACTAGTTGCCGATGGTTATTTTCCTGAACGTTCTTTAATCTTAAAATTTGAGTCTTAAATTCCACTTAAAAGTGAAAATGCTGCCCGACAAGGTACAGTCAATGGCAAATTCTCTGTTTGAGAGCACTCTCAATGAACTGCACAGCATAAAACATACATTGTAAGAAAAATTGTGCAAAAACTGGGGTTTTGGGATAGTAGCCTCAAACCTATACTTTTTTCCTGGTCTACTCCCAAAGGGTGCCTTAAATACTACCGGGAAATATTCACTTAAGGTACTAATATGTACTTTTTAGGGGTAGGTAAGTTGCAGATGTGTCCCATTGATGCTACAGCCCCAGTGAGAAGCTAAAGAATTTTTTTTCTGAACATGTACCTTGCAGAAATTGCTACCAATTGACCATCAATTTAAAACCTCTGGTTAACATTAATGACATTGCATAGTGAGTGACACGGTTTTAAGTGTTTAGAACAAACCTTTAACTAGAATGTCAATACAGTGACCATATACCAGTGTAGAGGGGCCTGTGAATTACGTGAGCTCCCAATGTTTTTTCTAAACCTGCCCTGCTGACTCACAAGCATTAGGGAGCACGATGGGTAGCTGAGAGAGATGTGTTCCTTAAGGTGTGAAGTGATTAACTTGCTGCATTGGCAGGAGTAATGAAAAGTTAGACCGGGTGAGATTGAAATAGCCCACTCGCTCAGGGTTGAAAGAGTGGAGTTAGAGTAGAAGGCAGATACCATAACCCAGATTAAATAGTGCCTGGCAGCATTCATCATACTTCAGCCTGAGCCTAACCTGGCAACATATAAATTACCTGGTGACCAAGAAGGTAAAAATGATGCATAAAAATGGCTAGAGCTGTTGCCTGTGGTGTGGGCTGACAGGAAAAATTATTTGAGCTCTCCAAGGTGCTGACCAACAGGGCTCAGAAATTTTAGTCTGAAGAATTAGAGTGGCTAGAAAAAGACAACAAAAGAAGCTCTGTTTCATGCAGCTGATGTTGTTTGGGTGCCAACTAATGACTGTATCATATTTTTAAAACATTTTAGATCTCTAACCTGTTGAGCTGCCTACTCAGAAAGTTTCAAAAGAGTTTGGCATTTGTATATTGCTAAGCTAATGATACACACACAGATATGAGGTAAAATGTTAAATTTGAATGGATTTAAGTATTTTATTATGAATATTATTCAGTATTGAATTTCGATATAATTGGCATTATCCACCTTTTTTTTTTAATTGAGCTTATTGTAATGCATTCTGGGATAGATTTAACTGTTTTCAAATCGTTCTGTTCTGAATTAAATGTAAGTGTTGTTTGTGATGTTTCTTCTGCTTTACCCACCATCTTATCGTATTGTTTTAATTGATCTTGTAATGCATTCATTGGCTTCATTATGAAGGATACATGCAACTTTGGCCAAAAGAAGGTACTTTAGAAGGCGGCATCTTTATGGGATATCTAGAAAACCCTAGCAACCATCCAGAAGTCTCTAGAAACCACTTAAACCACTGAAATATTTCAGAAGATATATTTCAGTTTTTCAGTAATCACATATATGCACTGAAGAAACATAACTCTAGCATTGCATGTACAATCACAATTTCTTTTGTGATTGTACATGCAATTTCAAATTTAGCTCTAAATCTATCATGTTGAAGAAAACACTAATTTATCAAGTTAATTAGCAATATTCATTTTGTTTTACCAACGAGACTGTATATTATAATCCTGTTAGAGATATGGATATTCCATTTCATTTTATCTTTGTTACCATAGAGCTATGGACAAAGAGGACTCAATTAATTTCATTTTTGTAATTGGATTAGACTATCATAAAAATAATTAGTTGTGGTGCTCTATATCTTTTTGTAGGCGTTCTTGATGTCATACAACATCACTGAATGTCAAATGATGAGTGCTTGAGTCCATGTTTACTTCAGCCTGACCCGGTAAGATGAGCATCGCTCAGCTCTTCACAGCACAGATGGCTGGCTGAAGATCCTCCCTCAGTGGCCTGCTCACAATCAAAGGAGCGAGTGTGCATTTGGCAGGTCATTTTGGATAAGTGTCAGTTTGGAAAATGTAATTGAAGCTTGAAGGGCCCTCTGTTACTAGCAGCTTTCAGAATAATCATGGGACAGGGAACCAAAGCTCAAACATTATGTCAGCCTCACAGAGTCTGCTCTCGGTTCTTTTACCATTTAAAGTATAGATTGGGGAATCAATTGTTTTGTGGATTTATTGTAACTAGTGGTGTTTGAAAAAGCAAGCACCCCTATTATTATTGATCATTTAGGGTTAGCAGTTGCGAATAAATCCTAGAATTTGCATCATTTATGCTAAAAACATGAATGGCAACTCAAACAAATGTGGCTTTTATAGTGAACTGGTAATTTTCCGAGTGATTGGATGCATAATATTTACCCAGTGGACATTAAATGGGAATGGGAAAAAAAGCTCTTTTTCCGATTTAGTTTATTTTCAGAAAATGGTAAATCTAGTTAAATTATCATTACTTATGTAATGCATATACTAATGTTACATAAAGTTGGAAATGTACACTTTCTTTAACAGTGTCTGCCAAGTGCTAATGGTACTTGTAGCAACTCAAGTGTGTGTAGGCTTTGTCAATAGCCGTCTTTGTGTGGACTGACCATAAAATGCATTTCTGTGGTTGCTGTGTTGTTAGTTTTGACTAAACAAGGCAATATAGAAGAAATCAGATCTTTTGCATAATGCATGGAACTTGTGCGGTGAAGTGGAACCGGCCTTTTCGTCCATTAAGATGCCAAACATGGAGGCTAATGACAAATTAACCAGCATCACATGCACATGAATCCTCCTTCGCCTGTGAATTATTTAGATGTTTTAATGCCCTGTAAATGTTTTCTTTACAACAAGCAGAAAGAGCTGAGCTTAAGCAAATTAATTCGAATGGCTGACTTGTAATTCCTCTAAAAGTTCATCCACTTTTATTTGCCTTTCCCCTTCACCAGCCCTGCAAACCTCCAGGCACATGTCTCTGAAACGGCTGGCCGATGTCTTTAGCTAATGTGGTTAGGGAGCAGATTCACGGAAGAAGGGTTTGAAATTACTGGTGCCTCAGCCATTAGGATTTCATTTCTCCCTGTAACTAATGGATTGGGAGTGACAGACAGCCACTGCCTGATACATCCGCGCTGTTGCTTTGGTTTACATTCATCCATTGTGAAAATTTAACACAGGTGGATAGGAAGCTATACTGGGAAGCTGAGAATCACATTTCCCACTAAACAAGATGAATCTGTTTAGAAATGGACAAAAAATTACATGCCTTACAGTATGTTGCTTAAACTGGGAATAACACCTTGTAACAGAATAAGATCAACCATTTCGTAGCCCATTAAAGCTGTACTGGAAGCTTTCATACTTGTCATTTAGCAGATGCATTTAATCCAAGGTGACATGCGGGTACACCAACGCAGGGATTGGCAAAAGAAACTAGCTCCATTTTTTAGCTTCTCAGTCACCAAATGCCCTACATAAAATTAAAAAATCTAGGTTAGCAGAGCAAAGACGGGACATGTTTTTTGAAGACTGACAAGTGGCACAAGTGGTATCCATCGCTTTATCTTTGTTCTCATTTCAAAAGCGCTCTTGTCAGTCTTCTACTGTTTGAAATGCTTGTTTGTTTTGCTCATTTGAAGTGATAAGCATACATTCTGTGCAACCACTAACATACCTCTTCTCTCTTTCTCTTTCCAGAAAACCGGACACTCTAACCGAACATTTGGGCGGTTCACTCATGGTGTGTTTGGCTTTATAGATAACAGGTTATTACAAGAGAGATTTTACGATAACTCTTCAGTCTGTCAGTCATCTAATGTCTAGTCTTTGTTTAAATTCGAGGATGCATTGATTTTTCCTTTTACAATTTGAAAGAGAATGCATCTAATCTTGCAGTATCCATCTGCTAGCAGTCATGAGAACAATGTAAAATTGAAGAATTGGAAGTCATGAGAATGAGTGTATTGAACTTTGGAAATTTAATTGGAATGACATGGAGGACTTTACTGAATTTGAAGAATTTCAACCAGTGTTTAATATTATTTATATTGTTTTAGAATATTTATTAATATTTTGAATGAGCTTTTATTTTCATGTGAATTCAGTTCTAGTGATTTTGTGCTTTTGTGATTTGTTTTAAACTAATGTTTCTATTTAGCTTTATTTGTATTTAAGTTTTAGTAATAAGTAATTAGTACTTTTTGTCATTTGCAGTGGGTATAGAAAAGAATCACCCCCTTTAAAATAATCACATTTTGTTGCTTTGCAGCCTGAAATGAAGACGGACACAGTTTTTGTTTTATCCAGCTGTATTTACTCAGTGCAACTTATAACATCCAAGTGAAAGATATAACACCAACATGAATTTTGAATAACTTTTGCTGAGTTAAAGTTGTTTATGTTTTCTGTTTAGTTAGCTCCTTGATATCTCGCCCAGACTTCTTGTTTCAGTATGAAATATGTAAACAGCCAACACAAGACAGAAAACTGTGCTCATCTTTAATTATGTTCAGCTGTAACATGCAACTTGCCAACTTCCAAAATGTGTTTCTAACTGTGAAGTATCACACAAATGTGTGCCAAAACAAAGTCTAAGCCTCTGTAGCATCTGGAGATTGATGATAAATCATTAAGATTTAGGATTTCCATCACTTGATTCTCTGAGGCAAGCCAAAAAAAGTCATCTAATATCCCTTTGATTGTTATTGCAATCAATCTCTGAATCAAAGCCCTCCATAACCTCATCAGAGACACCTACATCAGAGGAAGTGTTCAGTTCAGACAAATATGATCTAAATTGTGTGCCTTAAGTTGTGCATAAAGTACTTCCGCTGCTGCACTGCTCCCATTACCTCTGAGAAGCGTTTATTATAAATGACTGCTAATGGGGATATCATTCATATTCCTGTCTGATAATTATAATATAATTTAGTCTGCATTATATCAATCTGCACACTCTGAAATACATCTCCTCAATGCAGCAGGTATATGTAACGCATCCTTAGTTTTAAGTACTGACTGTGCATCTTCTTATGAATTGTTAGTGTTGTGTACTTAATTTGATTTGTAATAAATAATTGTATTTTTGATTATTATTTCCTCTGTTATTGAAAATGTCAGTCAGTGTTGTGTCTGTGTGCTTGGGTTTGAGAAGTCATGCTAGACAGATTTTCTGGAATTGTCTGTCTGCTCGCTCTGATAAAGAGGAGCCTAGCAATGAATCAATTCACTTTATGTACAAAGGCACTATAATCTCAGCATCAATAATGCAAAAAGTTTAGCATTGAAGCAGTTTATACGAACTGCTGACACTTTTGCATTGATATGATGAGATTTTAGATGTGGCTCCCTATAAAAGCTCTTTAAATTGAAACTATGCCTTAAATAATTAATAAGACAGGCGGAATTAATGTGGATTACTCTCTTTATTACGTTCTCCGTTGAAGATCAGGAACTATTACAACATTTTCTTTCATGGGAATTCATATTAGTCCTTTATTATATAAGAACCTCATGGATTAAAATGTTGTTTCTGATAATCATTAGTAGTTAGAAATACACAGTAGATTATTTACTGCAGCACCATCTGGGTAACTAAATTAGCCTTGATCTAATTTAAAAAGGATGATAATTTCATCAAAATTAACTGGCTTAATATATTATACATAAATGATTGAAAAATATGCATCGAAAAGCTCAAAATCCTTATCTTGTCTGAGATGAGAAATATTTGATTAACAGTAGTCGGGAATTTGCTGCTCCTTTTACAAATTTATACGGGCGGGATGGAGCCCACAGGGTTTGATGGGCAAATGAAAAAAGATCCTATATAATTAAAAATTAAATTAAATTTAATTTAATGTGTGGAGACTTTCTTTAACCAACTAAGCCTTTAGGTAAGTCATTTTGCATTTTGATAGGCCTGTTTGACCATCATTACCAGCTCTTACCATTGTTTGCCCAATGGAAGTTCAGAAATTATTATAAACGCAGAAAACAAAGCAAAAGCATATAGCAGTGGTGTTGTGCAGCAAGTACTAGTCTCAACCAGGACCAGTAAACTGTGCAAATGTGTCCATTCAGCAGTTTGTTGCTGTGCTATCTGTTTTCTGGGATGGGATTCGTCTCTATAGTAACGGTGATGTCTTGTCTGCTTCTCTCCTCTGCCACTATGGAAGTGAAGTTTTCCGCTCCTGTCGGAAGCAAAGTTATGGTAATGTTTATTTTCATCTTTAGGCTCATTGCAGTGGTTCGTCCTCTCTTTCCCCACCAAGCTCCCATTTCAAACACCATTTCTATTTATTCATTTCACTTATCACTATGTGTCAACCCAAATCTTGCTTTTTTTGCTCAAGTAATGCACTTTTCCTCAAGACAGCAAAAATTGTTTACTCAAATTATTTTCTTAGTTTGATATCCATTATCATTACAGGCAGTAGTTTCTAACATAATGTCTTATTTCTCTGTGTTAGACTCTGAGACTACAGAAGACGAAGCCGCTGAGCCACAAATACCTCTGGAAGCTAAAGAAGGAGCCAGAGGTTTTCAGGATGAGGCCCAACGAGTGCCTGCAGGTACGCATGACGCTTTCAAAATGAACTACTATGTGAACTTTTTTTCAGTCGTATGTCTTAAAATGTGTATTTGCAGAGCTTGTAAAAGAAAAAAAAAAAAAAAAAGAA